CGGTTAGCTTTCCTTGTGAATGTAGAATTTTCATCCCTTTCTCACTCATGTGCCCCAGCCTATTGTGCCACATATCTGTACTCTCCTTGCCAGCTGCAATTGCGAGGGTGTCACTCGCATGTGAAGTGAGGTAGAGAGTTCCCGTTTTGTTGCCTCGGGCAACAACCATCGTACCGTTGGAGATCCTCCACGAATCCCCGGTGAATGTCGAAACGTAGCCTTCTGCTCCAAGTTGTCCCACCGAAACAAGATTCCTCTTCAGCTTCGACACGTGTCTCACGTTCTTCAAGTTCTACTTGGAGCCCTTCATCTGTATCTGAACATCGCCCTTTCCAACAATATTTCAAGGTTCATTATCCCCCAAGTATACTTTACCAAAGTCCCCTGCTACATAGTTCTGAAGTAGTCTCCTATTAGCAGTGGCGTGGAAAGAGGCTCCTGAGTCGATGACCCAAGAATCAGAATCGCTATCCATAGCAAGGATCAAGGCATCCTGCACGATATGAGCCTCCTGCTCACCCGCATCATTCTTTGGTGCTTTACAGACCGAAGACATATGGCCCTCCTGGCCGCAGTTCCAACACTTCCCTTTGATAGACCTAACCTTCGAGTTCGGCCTCTTCTTCACTGATTTCGACCGATTCCTGTTCTGGTTCCCTTTCTTCTGGCTTCTGCCTCTCTGCTCGAAACTTAGGGCTGAACCTGAACCTTCTGATTCGGACGATTTCCTTCTAACCTCCTCGGATAGAATCATGCTAACAACCTCATTCAGCTTCAACTTCTCTTTCCCCGCCAAATTGTTGATTGCTGTCACACAACCTGCCCAACTATCCGGCAACTGCGATAGAATCAATAGGACTTGCACTTCGTCATCAAACGTGATGTCCACGGAGATAAGTTGATCAACAATCGTGTTGAACTCACTGAGGTGCATCGTGAAGGACCGTCCTTCTGCCATCTTGAGGTTGAAAAGAGTTTTGACTAGATGCACCTTGTTTGCTGCCGACGGTTGCTCGTACATCTTCGCGAGCGCTTCCATAAGCCCCACCGTCGTCTTCTCCTTCAGAATATTGTGGGCTACTGATTTGGCGAGCGACAACCGGATTTGCCCTAGAACCTTCCTATCTAGTACCTCCCAATCACCATCTGACTCCTCTTTCTTCTTTCCCTTTTCCTTGCCCATCAGCGGGCGATACAAGTCCTTCTGGTACAGATAGTCCTCCATCTGCGACTTCCAGTAGGCGAAATCCGATCCGTCGAACTTCTCAATCTTTGATTTGCTTTCCTCTGCCATGGCTTTCACACAAATTGCTGAACGAAGCTCTGATACCAGTTGTTGGGGATTCGAAACAATCAATCGAACCCTTGCCCTTCCGGACCTTGTGTTGAAAGTAGGAAAGTAGGAATAAAACCACAAATAAAGATCTAACTTGCAAAAAACAGTAAGGGAGATGAACACACAGATTTAACGAGGTTCGGCAACGTGCCTACGTCCTCGGGAGCCACACCACACAATCTTTCTATTAATTGAAGAAGAAAATACAAGCTCTCAAACAAGGGGTAAATCTCTCTGAGATTCTCTCTCTTTGCAGTCAAAAAGCTCTCTTTTTGATGTAGTACAAACCCTAAAATCGTTTGGGGTATATATAGAATCCTGGTTGAAACAGATTCCTAAACAGATCAGGAAACTGTCTGGGCGATTCGCGGTCGACCGCCGTGCCAAGGCCGGTCGACCGGCCAGAGAAAAATCTGTTTACAGGGTCCTGTGCACATTTGCGGTCGACCGCAGCGGCCACGCCGGTCGACCGACCAGAGCGAAAACTTCTTCTCAGTCTCCTGCAGTGCACGCGGTCGACCGGCTCTGCCACTGCGGTCGACCGCACAGTCTTCTGACTGTTTTTCTTCGTCTTTTCGATTGCAGCTTTGGGTCTACACACTTAGACTAACAAAAACGTGGGAAATCGGTTACAAAACTGGCTGACGGACTTCCTTCTTCCAAGACACGAAATGTGTCTCGGAAATGGGGGACTGAAAAGTTAGTTTTGTTTTGATTTTATACCTTCAGTTACAGTTTCTATAGGTTATAAATATCTCCCTATCACCTATATACACGAGGACCAAGGCGGAGAGAGTAGAGACTTGAGCAATTGGGTGAATTTTGAGCAAGAGAGAAAGAACATTCATCAATTTCAAGCACTTCCAAGAGCCTTCGGTATTTCCTCGAGATCTAAGCTTTGTCTTGATCTTGAGAAGAGTGTTTTATCTTACCTTGTTGAGATATCCACGTCTGTCCTTGTTTCTAAAACGAAACATCGACCTTAAGCCTTCTTCACGATTCAACTTGGATCTGTGGTTCGGTCGTCCACGGGCTAACGCACCCCTGACGCAGGCAAAGATCTCACACAAGCAACGGGTAATAAACGTCCTTCTGCATGTGTTTCTAGGAGGTTATTTGCTTGTAACAAGAAGTCTTATAAAAAGGCTTGTTTCTTTGAATTCATTATATTCAATAAACGATTTGTAATGAGTTCAGCAAATAAAATAATTTCCGACGCAAACATTATGCGGTCGTGATACTCGGCTCTCAAACCTTGCATGATTATTCTCCTCATTCTTGCTTCAGGAACTTTTGAATCAGTGTCTAATTGAGAGTTCTTACCTTTAGAAAATATTCGCTGAGAGACTTATTCTCTTGTGTTATATTCGTGAGTTGGCTCTTGAGCATCTTTAACCATGCATCATTGGATTTGGAGAAGAGTGCAGCAAAAGCACTACATGCTTCCTTTAGTGTGTCGACCTCCCAAAAGTGCTCCAAAAGATCTTCCACTATCGCCATCTTTAAGGCGAGTATCACTTTCCCAGCCTTTATCTTCCATTTTCTTAGGGGTCCACCTTCCTCCTATGGTGCTGTAGTCTCAGCTCCACCCATGACCTCCCAGATATCTTTTCATTGTAAATAGGACCGTATGCATGTGCTCTAGTAATTCTAGCTGTGTTCATTGAGTTTCTTGACTGTACCAATGGTGTTTGCTAGATTTGTCATCGTAATGTGGTATACTTTCTCAATATTCACAACGCAAGCCTGATCCCAAACCAACCAGCTTCACAGTTCCAGACGATGCACAAACTTGAGCTCCACGAATCCATGAACACTGCTAGACACGAGAAGAATGTTGGTACAATAAAAGGTCGGTCTCAAACCATCTGCTCTGATACCACTTGTTGAGTAAAGGGGATGGCTTCAAGAATAAATAGTGGGGACGAAGAAGCTCAAAGCAACCATTTCACTGTTTGATACTACTTTTACGCCATACACACCAAGCATTATGCACTCCACTTACTTTTATCTAGGTCTCTCTTACACGGCACCACTCATTGAAATATTTTCTTTACTCACTTAGCACTCACTGGCCACTTCGTTTCTTTCTCACCCGCTCATTTTATTATTTTTCTTCAGCTCACTCATCACTGGCGCTACGCCGCCTATGTAGGCTTCACGGACCGCCTATTGTTGAGTCGGTAGCTATTAAGTTAGAAATGTCCGTCCGGCTTGACAAAGGACCCGTGTTATTAATTTATGGCGGTGAATGACCGATTTTAGGGAGCGGGTCACGACACCGACTTAATCACAACTATAGACTCTTCCTGATTGGTACTTTTCCTCTATTCCAATACCTAAACGATGTCCTCTCTTCGGACCTCAACAAATTTAGTCACAAAGATTTACTATTTTTTTCATCATCTTGACCACTAATTGCCACTGCGATGGCAACATCATACTCCGCCGTCCCCACGCCCACCCACCCCAACGAACCCGGAAAAAAAAAACCTCGCCATTATTTCAGTAACTCCTGAAACGTAGATTTTTATTTTTTTTAATCTTTCAAGGGCTGTAAAATAAAGATCACTATACTTAAGAGTAAGAATCTGAGGATGGAGGGTTCCCCTCTGTTGTTAATCAAATGAGAAGCTACAGGGACAAAATGAAGATGTATAAGAACAATTTCGAGAAGGTATCAAGAAAATTTTTTTGGGGTAACGCTACAGTCACACCCCCAACCACACTCCTCTCGTTACAGTGCACAGTGGTCCATGCGAGAATTTTTTTAAAATTATCATGTAGGCTCCAGTGTACTGTAGCGAGAGAGGAGTGTGGTTGAGAGTGTGGTTGGGGGGTGTGCCTCTAGAATTTTTTTTTTTTTTTTTTGGGGGTTGGGGGGTGTGCCTCTAGAATTTTTTTTTTTTTTTTTTGGGTGTCTGCTTTCACAAAGAAATCTAAATACTTATCAAAATTAAGTTTTTTTTTGTTAACAAATACCATCTTCAGATTCGCATAAACTCAGAAGAAACATGCCCGCAAACAAACATCTGGTCAAGCGAGGTTTCCAGTCAAATTTAATTTTTTTTAAGAAGAGAAAGGAGGAGATGCAACTAATAAAGAACATAAAGAAAATATATTTTCCAAAAATCACAAGGCTGAAGAGGCAACTGTGACACAGGGAGATGAACTCCCCAAATGCCAAGTCTCTAGTTCTCACTGTAAGCTTCGTAATGAGCCAGCATAGAGCACATTCTAGTTCGGGAGAACAATGTCAACGGTTTCGCTTTTCTGAAAACTAAATGCCCGTGAAAATGCGAAATGTTATACTTTTTGAGGAGTAGAATGCAAAAACCTGCTGACTTATTTTGAAGCGTACATAAATGTCAATTGTCACTGTCAGCTTAAATTGGGCGGTGGCTAGCTCTCTATTCACTTGTTGAAACATAGGTTTGGATATTTCCTTAAACAAAAGAAGCTACCTAGGTTTACATCTAATAAAACAAAGCACGGTGTACTGAGACTCATTACGAATAAAGTAGGACTTATCATCCTATTGAAAATTTGAAATCTTATATTTCAGTGAAATAAGAGGGGCAAAGGGACGAGTCTTTACTTCAATTACAGAAATGGAGAAGGTGTAACCAAATTGGAAATTTACCAAAGCAAACATATGTTTTATTGAATACAAGCACATCACATACAAATTTCGCGCCGCATGTATATATCATACTACAGACATAGTCAAGAACGTGCACACCTTAAGAGAACACACATGTGATATCCATAGGAAATAAACATCCGCTACGTATTGCGTATTGCCGATAAGACCACAAACGGGAAATTGACGAATGAGGAGGTTAAAGATTCCCAGGTGAATCTAAGCGAATCGCGGTTTAGCGATAAGAACTAGACTGGATGCTTTATGAGCTACAAAACCAGGTGACTCTCTCATGTCAAGAACTTCCTCTTTCATCCCATCAGAAAATCCCCAGTCAAAGTGATTCAGGAGATGAGCAAGGGTGAGTTCAATTGTAGCCATCCCGAATCCAATTCCAGGGCAACCTCTTCTTCCTGCACCAAACGGTATAAGCCTAAAGTCTTGTCCTTTAAAATCAACGTCGTAACTGCCAAATCTTTCAGGATAAAATTCTCTGGGCTTATCCCATGATTTTGGATCCCTACCAATTGCCCAACCATTCATAATGACTCTAGTTCCAGCGGGGATATGGTAGCCTTGCAATTCAACATCTTCCATGGATTCTCGAGGAATCAATAAAGGAATAGGAGGATGCATCCTTAGAGTTTCTTTAATTACTGCCTTTAAGTACTTCATTCTATCGATGTTTTCCTCTGTGATCTTTCGTTTACCTCCGGTAACTCCTCGTACCTCTTCTTGTACTCTCTTCATTGCTTTTGGATTCTTGATGAGCTCTGCCATCGCCCATTCAATTACAGTATATGTCGTGTCTGTCCCAGCTGAGAACATGTCCTATAAGATAAAAGTGCATAGATTCAGGAATATGATGAGACCGTTTAGTTGATCCATCCTGTGTTGTGCAAGTTTATTATTGTGTATATGACTAATTTGCTTTTTTATGCCTATTTTCATAAGTTTAGCTAACCATTTGGTGATCATGTGGAACTTTAGCTCTTAAACAGATACGGACTCTTTGAACTACGTTAATGTTCTACCAGCCAATTATGATCCACACATCAAAAACATGTATGCTACACATGCATTAGTTAATCTACTTTGTGATTCATATGGATGTTGGCCCACCCATTCTATGGAATTAAATTCATCCATACAGCTCATACAGCTCCTAAAGCATAACGTAAGCTGGTGAACCAAAGAAACAAAGCTAATTTATTGACAGTATAGGGAAAAAGCTGTGCCAAATTCCTTTTACCAAAGGATCCTGCCACTGCACCAAAACTTCACAGGTCACATTGCAGTATCAATTCTTCCAAAATGCACTTTATATTCATGTTGAGTGGGATTTTAACATGGGTTGCTCTGATCCATATCAAAGGATCATGCCACTGCATCAAAATTTTGTAGTTTTATCTGGATCGAGGGTTATAATTATACTCTTAACACCTTCATACTTGATAGGCGCTTAGATACCTGAACCAAATAATGTGTGTGTGTGCTCATGTTTGCTCCTATACTATATACACGCATATATGTACATGTGTCTGGACTTGTGTTCACAGAGAGAGAGAGAGAGAGAGAGAGAGAGAGAGAGAGAGAGAGGTACCAAAATTATGGCTTTCAAGTTGTCTCTGCTTAAGGAAATGCCTGCCATGTCATCCTTCTCATCCAGCGAAAGCAACACCTCCACAAAACTCCTATCCTCCTCATCATTGCTTGAAGTACCCTTATCATGAAGATGGTCATCCAATACTCTTTCAAGAAAGCCATCCAATTCTCTAAAATTCTTTGTCACTCTTGCATCAAGCCCACTCAACAAATCAATCCAACCAAGCCAAGGGATGAAATCCCCAACAGGAAATGATCCCAACAAACAAATAAATTCTTTAAGCATCTCACTAAAATTATACCCTTCTCCTTCCTCTCCAAAATATTTCCTTCTTAAAGCCACTCTACATATTACGTTATTGGTAAGATTAAGTAGCATCTCACTCAAATTAACTACGCCATTGCAAGATTCACGTATTTTCTCTACCAAAAGTGACACCTCTTCTTCCCTTACTAATCGAAATGATTGCACCCTCTTAAGGCTCAACAAGTGAACGACGCATACCCTTCTCACTTGCCTCCAATATTCGCCGTAGGGCGTAAATGCCACATCGCTATCATATAGGAGCCTTTTGGTCATGCTCAAAGGAGGTCGACTTGCGAAGATTAAATCGTGCGTTTTCATGATTTTGCAAGCCATCTCTGCTGAAGAGACTACAACAGTGGGGACACTGCCTAATTGTAGGAGCATTATCGGCCCATACTTCTCTGATAAAGCTTGCAAAGAGCGATGAGCTAGCGAACCTAGCTGGTGGAGGTTGCCTATGACAGGAAGTTTCGGTGGAGAGGGGGGCAAGTTTGATGTATCTTTCTTCTTGGAGAGCTTGAAGAAGAAAAGCAATAAGGTAAACATGAAGGTGATTGTTGTTAGAAAGAGAGGCCATGGTTGAACTGCGTAAACTAGATGCTTCATCTTGGAACAACTAGTGCAATGTCTATAGCTTCTCTAACTAACTAGATTGTGAAACCTTTTAAGGAAAGATTGAGGCTGTTGCAAACTGAAGAAACAAACAAAACAAATAATTATGGCGTCTTGTTATCTTTCCAAGTGCTCTTTTTACGTATCTTTGTATGAAAATGGTGACTGCTGACCTAAGCCGTTAGGGTAACTTCTCTTGTCTGAAGATGCATTTTCAATAATACATTCAGAGAACCATCTAACTTTATGACAGCTTACCGAAATCTGTCCTTTTCTTAAAATGTGTTGGAAGGTTAGAGGAACTTCGAGTCCAGCTGATGTCAGTATTCGACGACTTAGAACCGAGCTAGGTTGAACTCTGCTCGGACCTACACGTTAATCGACGTCAGTCGAGGTCTCTGTATCTGCTCCAAAATTTTAGAGCAGTGCTATTTGGCTCGGGGCCCACCCCCTGTATCTGTGCGCGTTGGCTCGCGCGTTAAAGCGCGAGCCAAACATCTTTTTCGAAAATTTTAATCTACTTACTTTTTGGGATGATGAATTTTTACTGACATCGAACTTAAAGCCTGTAGTGTTGTTCACAGATTCGTAATTTTGTTTTGATGGGGAATATTTTGAGAGCTATTACAGAAACTTTGTATTGGTTAAACTTTATATATTAGGATTTTAGAACAAATTTTTGTTTTAAACCCATTTCAACTTTTTTTACCGAAATCGACCGACTCCCTTTTCATTTAGCGGAATCGACCCACTTCTCGGCCACGTTGCTGACGTGGCCGAGAAGTGGGTCGATTCCGCTAAATAAAAAAAAGTCGGTCGGTTTGTAAAATAAAAAGGTGGAATGAGTTTAAATCAAAAAATTCTTCTAGGATTTTATCATCATGTTATGGCGTAGAAAATACCACGAGAAGAAGAGAATACCTAGATCATTTACGGGGAGGGAGAATTTGGTGAGCGTTGATCACATCTCTGTAATATGTACTCTTTCGTAGGATTAGTACAGATTATATGATTCAGAGTATCATTTCCTATTTGATCCCTTTGAATTCCATATTCGAAATTGCAATCGGATCTATTCATTAAAAAGAATCGATTCGATACATTTCATACGTACCCATAAATGCTATATTGGATTTGAATCAGATTTCATATTAATCTATATTGATTGACTGCCTCCACTTCTCAACCTAAGGGGCTGTTTGGTTCGCTATTATAAAGGGTGGAAAACTCAGAAAACCCCTCCACGTCAGATTTTTAGCCCTCCACGTCAACTTTTTTGTTTCCGTTCATTTCTTTGTGCCGCTTTGGTTCGCTCGAATGGAAGAGAGAAAACTCTGTTGAAATCGCCGCCAACTAAGATTTTTTTCCCTCTCCGATTTCCTTCCCCAACCAAGTAAAATTGATGAAAACTCTGCCATGTCAGATTTTTTTCCTTCTCTGCTTTGTTTACAAAAGTTTTTTTTTTTCTATGCGAACCAAACACAAGAAAAATAAATACATTGGTTTCCCATCATTTTTTATGTGCGAACCAAAGCAAAACAATCTATTTCTTGAAAAAGTTTGGAAAAATCAAAACTTGTGTTTCTTTACATGGAATTGCATTTCTCTATATCAAGGAAACAAACCAAACAGTGACATGGCATCAGCTACGTGGATGAAGTGACTCAAAATTAAGGAAATTCATTTCATTGTTTTTTTTTCCCGCTTTGTGTGGAGGAATTCGAAGGGGACCGCTTAGTTTCTAAGAAACCAACAAAACAGGCAGTGTGTTCTTGCTTTGTGATATTGGTTTCTACAATGCTTCCCTAGTATCTGTAGCAAAAGGTAAATAAAATTCAAGTTTTTTTTATATTAGACTCTAAATTTTCGTTAATTCTATATTGCACAGAAAATCTTTATATTTCTAAATTATCCCGAAATTCGCTAAGTTTATTTTAAATAAGACCCCAAATTTATTAATTTTTTTGAATAAGACCTCCAAATCTATTAAGTTGTTTTTGAATAAAACCTCCATTATAAACTAATATAAAATTTGGGGTTATAGTTTAGAACTATGAAGATTTGGGGGTATAATATAGAATCAACGAAGATTTGGGGTTCTCATATTACAAAAACCCCTAAGGTGGTGTTTGGTTGTTTGCAACTAGAGTTGCAATGCAAGTGTCACTTGCATGCAACTGAGACGTTGCAACTCTTCTTACATGCAACTACATTTGCAATTGTTTGGTTTAAAATTTAAATTTTACAACTTATAGTTGCAGCTGTTTGATTATGCTTATAAATTAACATATGCAATGCAACTCATAAAATATTTTTAAAAAATAATATTTTTTAAAAAGTAATATATTTTTATAAAATAATATATTTTTAAAAAATAATATAATTTTAAAAAATAATATAATTTTAAAAAATAATATATTTTTTAAAAAGAAATATAATATTTTAAAAATAATATAATATATCATTTAAAATATATATTATTTTTAGAAAATTATATTATTTTAAAAATACCATTATTCAAAAACATATTATTTTTAAAAATATATTGTTTAAAAATATATTATTTTAATATATATTATTTTTAGATAATATATATTATATTAAATATATTATTCAAAATTTATGATTATTTAATATATATTATTTTAAAAAATATATTATTTTAGAAAATTATATTATTTTAAATATATATTATTAAAAAAATATTATTCAAAAAATATATTATTTTAGAAAAATAATAGTATTCCTGGAAAATTTTATTTTTCATAAAATATATTATTTTAGAAAAAATATAAATTTTCAAAAAATATATTATTTTAAAAATATATTATTTTAAAAAATATATTATTTTAAAAAATATATTATTTTAAAAAAAATATTATTTTAAAAAATAATATATTATTTTAAAGATAATATATTACTTTAAAAACTAACATATTATTTTGAAGAAATTATTATAATAATAATTATTTTAAAAGATTAATGTTTTTTTAAAAACATTTTTGAGGAAATTATTATAATAAGAATTATTTAAAAGATTATTTTAAACCTTTAATGAATTTATTTTTAAAATATTAAGTAATGATTTTGAATTTAATAAATTTAGGTCAGTTGCAACTAAGTTGCAACTATGACTTGCGGTCATTTTTGACGTAAGTCATATGTTGCAACTGAGGCTTGTTTTGCAACTGTGGTTGCAATTGCAACGGTGAGTTGCAGCAAAACAAACACATGCAACTGGTCAAATTGGACCTAGTTGCATGCAACTGGAGTTGCAACCACTCCAGTTGCAGCCTACCAAACAGCCCCTAAATACAAATTTGGGCGATTTAGGTATTAGTGCTCTGAATCTTCAACAATTCCATTTAAGTCCCTCATATATATGAAATTATTCATATGTCCCTCAAATTTTAAGGGGTCTCGCAAATTGGTCCCTCAATTTACTAACGTTAAATTCAAGGAGAATATTCTCTTAATTTTTTGAGAACTTCCAGTTAAGGCCCTCAGTAACCCATTTCGTAACATTTTTAAACTAAAAACTCCACTAACTAAAAAACACAATATCTACAAGCATAATCTTCCCTGACAATCAAAAACTCCCCCCAACCCATTTCTAAGCTTCCGTAATTAGGAATTTGGGGTGAAAAAAATTAAGTTGAGGGGTGTTTTGGTAATTAATGATGTTGGGTTCAGAGTTAACTCAACCATAGTTTCAATAGCTAACTGAAAAGCTAACAGGGGGACCAATTTTGCAAGACCCTTTTAGATTTGAGGAATGTATGAGCAATTTCAAAGATATAAGGAACCAAGATAGAATTATTGAGGATTTGAGGGACTCATATCTGAATAAAATAATGATAGGGGCACATCTCCGACCACACCTCCAACCCCACACACACACTCTCTATAGTGATAGTGGACCCTGCATGATATTTTTAAAAAAATATCATACAGAGTCCACTATCACTATAGAGAGAGAGGGAGTGTGGTTCGAGGTGTGGTCGGAGGTGTACCCTGAATATCCTAAGGTACTGTTTGGCAACCAAAAAAAGTGTCTTATCTAAGAGCTTGTGTCTTATTGACTTGGTCAATAAGCTAGTAGAGCTGTTTGGTGACAAAAAATAGGAGGAGATTATTTTGGAGATTGTGTCTTTTGCAAGTAGCTTTTAGAAAGCTACCTCAAGTAGCGTTCGTCTTTGGGAATGAGCTGCCAATTTTTTTCTTCCGTTTTGCCCATAATAATTCTAATTTTATATCAATAATATTGCATGTCTCTTTTAGTCATTTAACAAATTTAAGCTAGTTGTACAGCTACTTTTGCCAAACAGCTCTAGTCAATCAACTAGCTACACAGCTAACAGCTTTTAACTATAATTTCACAGCTTTCAGCTAGCTTAACAGCTTTCAGCTATAATCTCGCAGTTTTCATTAGTTTTGTCAAATAGAGCGTAAATGTTTTGAGCGAAGCAGACAACCATCTTATCTGTGTCTTTTCAAAAAAAGAAAAATAATAATAATAGAGCGTACCAGACACGTGAGGCCCTGGGCACTCGGATTGGATATGGGAGGCTCTCCCGTGCCCACCATTTTGTTGGCGCTCGGGGGGCCTCTACCTTAACTTGTGGCCGCGTTTCTCTTTATATTTTCTAGTTTTCCTTTGTTTTTTTTACCCCCTCACTCGTTTCCCCTTACTCTCTCTAGGATCCTCCCTTCACTGAAGTCCTCTGTAAGTTCCCACCGTCTCCGCCATCTATTTTAACCTTATTTTTTTCATGTGTAATTTCTTCTCTTTCTTGAGTTAAGAGTGTTTGAGAAGGATTTGTTGGCCCTTCAATTTATTTGGATTCATGTTGAATTTGAGAAGGATATCTAGCAATTTTTCAATTGCGTGATAACCTATGAGTGTGAAGTGTGATTTTCTGCGATTTGGACATTGTCATGTGCAAAGCAAGGACTAGCCTTCTCACTTGAGAAATTTTCCTAATGTTTAGTGGGTAACAAAGTTTGTATTATCCAGTTTAACCGGGATGTTTCTGCACCTAAACAAAAAAAATTTACTCGTTCGAATGGTTTGGAGGTAATTAACGCGCAGGAAGAGCAATGTCATTATGTTCAGCAAAGGGATGCATAAAAACTAGCAAGAACATTACCTAAACCTTTTGTTTCAGCGTCTTCCCAGTACGATGCATCCCCTTGAATCCCAAATCCTCTGCACGCTCAACAGTTATAAATTGTATTCTCTATTTCTTGCGTTGATGACCGTTGGCTGCAGTATCATTTTTCATGAAGTGTTATAAGTATCCCATTCCTCTTAGATAAGTCTTTGATATTTTAGGATGATGTTCTTTCTTCACGCAAATTGTGGTCCCTAATTCCTATTAATCAAAGCAGATACCATAGAGGGTTGGCAAAAGCAATGTAAACAGACAGCATGAGAATATTTTCTTCTTGTGGTTTAATGCCTGAAGCGTATTCATCATTTCGTTTGTGGTCACAAGTTATTAACATGTTTTGCTTATCACGGTAGTCATTAACTTTCTTGTATGTCTTATTAATGCCTACAGGTTCATTAGGAAATTAGCTATGAACATCACATTAGCGTGTTTTAAATGACTAACACTTGAGGAAAAAGTTTGAAAAGTCTAGTTTTTTATGTTTCACTTTCATGCTTGGTCCTCCTAAAACCATGAAGCTGCAACCCTCAAAGTTTACAAATTTCAGCTGGGGTAAATAGTAGAACTAACTTATATAATGCTCCTACTTTTCAGGTAGCATGTGAAAAGAAACGGCTACAATCATATCGTGTGTTGGCTGATATATTCTTCTGAAAAGTTGCAATCATCATATTATATTGTTTGTATTTAGCTTCATGTTCTTTGCTTGAACTTATGGCTTGCAAAGTTTCCGGTGGGGCCGTGGCTTTTGATAGGACTGGTTTCACTGAGCAGCGTAGACGACTCTGCACACCCTCTAAATCTTTGCATTGTATTGACTCCAATCCTATAAACAAGAAGATAGAAATAAGTAGAGGTAACGTGCATCTATCAAAGGGATCCTGGCTTATCAGTAGACAACCTCACTCTTATGCGCGCCCCAGGAAGCATCCAGTTTTATGTTATTCGATGGGTTCTCAGAGTAATGAATCCAGAGAGTGTGTAAGGAATTCTGAGGACTGTAAAAATTTATCTAGGTATGTTGTCATCCCTAATATGCCTATTGCCCAATACATTAATTAGTTGTATGCTTTAAACCGTTGAAATGGTATGATGCAGAGTCCTTAAGAGTACTGAATTTGGATTTTAGTTATTTCCTTTATGCATTGTGAAAAGTGCATATTGTTTGCGGCTGTTGTCACATGAACTTTATTTAAGAACAAACGTGCAAAAAGAAAGTGATTCCTTATTAATTTGTGTTATTTCAAAGTTGGAACATATCAAGTAAAAAAGTTTTATGTTTTTTCCCAGCTAACAGAGGAAATGAGCTGGCTAGTTGTCATGTCATGGCTTCATTAGCAATTTATAGAGACTAATATGGCTAATGTGGTTGTAACTATACCTGCTATATGTAGTACAAGTCATGGCTATCATTAGCAATATAAAGCAGCTAAACATGGCTGCTATTAGCAATGTTTATCAGCTTTAAACTACTGTAATAATTGTAGTTTTTACAAATTTTGCTAATTTGATATTTTATACCTGACCTGATGAAAAAGTGAGCTTGGATTATTTGTGCTCACCCATTCAAGTATGGAAAATTGTCAGTTTTCCATATTCATAATCATTAAACTAATTTCCTTTTTCTGCATTACGATCATATGCCTTTTGACGTAGAACTTCTGGGAACTACATAAATACGAGAGAAAGTGGATGTTAGTTTTGCCATTTCATCGCCCTTCAAGTGTATGTAAAGTAATTAAGTGTCACGTCTTCTGGTGGCATTTGCACTCTATATAAACATCTCCTAGTTCATGTGTCAAATATCAGAAATTGCATTCAATCTAATCACCAGAGATTGATTTTTTTTCCTCTGCTGTTAATTTATAAGACATTGCATTGACATCTGTCTATTTTCTTTTTCAGTGAGCAGCTTGAAAATGAGCAAACAGGAGGATGTGGTACTCAGGTCTGTGATAAAGTCATCAATGCAAAGATTTCTGCTTATTCTATTGTTTACAATGATGCAAAATACGTAAATGAAAGGGCCCGTAATGACATTGTCTTGCTTTCCCGGTAAGTTCATGTTCTCTATGTGTAAGCATTTCCATTTTGGTTTAGGAATAACGAGTACTTTCGCATTTCTAAGACAATTATGCATTCTTATTGTCATCCTCAAAGCTTGACTTTACAGTAGTCCATTATCAGTTTCTTCAGCAGACATTGTATAATTTACAACTTCAATTCTTCTATGAGGAGCAGCCATAAAATGAATTGTCTCTTGGAATGTTTTACAATGAGGTGCAGAAAGATTAGTGCACACAAATACCTGGCATCGATAAGGGATTGATAACTTACTTCAATTCGTAGAAATCTGATGTGGTGATTGATTTAGTGTTGACATTAATATGTTGTCATAGTCAAAACGCCTGCATGTTTAATTTTTATACTCAATTCAGAAATTGCTCTGAGTTATCATAATAGAAAGCTTCTGGCAATATGCTAGAGACTGCCTTTTATTCTTAATCACAGTTCTCTTCATGTTATTTGAATTTTGTTTATGTCTGCTTTGATGCCTCAGTGGCATAAGACAACTAGATGATCGTGCACGTCAAGATGTTGCTGTTCTAGGGTTGGGCATTCTGAGGCTTGACGGTATGCTTGCTAGAATTAAGTTGAACTTTCTCAGATATTATTTCTAATCATTTTGAGATTTGCACATTTCGCCTAATGTTTTAGTTTGTTTTGCAAGCTCGTGCAAGGGAGGACACAGAGAAGATTGATCATGGAATGAAGAGAAAAGCTGCTTGTTTGCACCATATAACTTCAGTATGTGTTTTTTGCTACCCATGGCTAAACATAAATTCCTTGTGTTACACTTAATCAATATATGATTATATTGCTTGCCAGATCTTAAAAGATAAAGCCAAGTCTAAATTGAAGCGAGCAGCAGATCAGCACTGGAGTGATGGGGCCTTGGAGGTATACAATCTTTCTATGATGATTCTTGTTTTCGTTACCTTCTAATTTCTTTACTCTTCATTGCTATCTTACTGATGTTATTTTAGAAGTTGCAATTAGTACATTTTCAAATGCCAAAATATTGAGCCTACAAGACTTCCAACTTAACTAGAAGTAAAAGATTGAGTTCAAGATACAAACCAAGGGTATCATACGTTTTTGGATTAACATAATATTTGATAATTTGAAAGTGAAAACAAAATTAAAAATTTATTTTTTTGAGAAAATGACATTTCACTTGTTAGGAATGGACCTTCCTACATGTATGAGAGATATATATATATATATACATATATATATATATATATATATATACATATAGAGAGAGAGAGAGAGAGAGAGAGAGACTAGGCATGTAGATGTAGAATTGCCTATTTTCCATTCTACATAAATGTAAGTTGGATCCGTCATTCAGGGGGTTAGCCTGCACAGTCCAATAAGACCCAACTCCAACATCAAGGGTCGTATCCCTTATCCTTTTCTTCAATTCACCTTAGGAACTTATCCCGCAAGAAAATATTGATGTTACCAGGATTTCATGCTTATTGTTTTTCTATGATTTTAAATATAATGCTTAGTTTAAAATTAGTTAACCTTGATAGAACTCTCATAGCTTTCTAGTGAATATGCACTAAGAAATTTGACTTTGATCGAAAATTTTATAATTGGTATTTCTTTGACATTAAAGTAGAAGTAGATTAGTGCATATAAAATCTCACATGACAGTGTTCTCGGTAAACAGACATTATAACAAATAAAAGAAACTCTATCTTGTGGTTGTGGGAGCCGTGCTAATTCGATGCTGATTTAAGCGTTTTGGTATTCTTTGTTAAGTAAAATAGTTTATGGTCATTTAGTGAAAACCCCTAGTATTGATGGTTTTGTGAAATTTGTCCATGATTTTAATGCAAGTTATCTTTGGATCTGTATTAAATCATGGCATAACCTAATCTGGTTTCTTATAAGAAACTTTGATCTGTTGCTAGGCTGATTTGAGACGAGCTGACTTTGTTGTTAGGCGTCGGGCAATGGAAGATGCATTCATGGCTTTGAAGGTAGAAACACTATCCTTTATATGGCCTATTATACACAAGAATTCATCTCTCATGGAATCTTCTTGAATATCTGATATAAAATTTATGTTTTAAGCAGGGATATGCATGTTTTGTCTTTTTACTCAATTTGGTCACAGTTGTTGTTTGCATTTGCATGCAATTGATTTGATCGGGATTGTGCTGATTTATCAATTACAAATGTAATTGTGTTGGACCAACTGCGTCTTTTCAACAATAAATTCCGGATTTAGCAGAAGCATATCATTTCCACGAGTGAAATTAATATTGTATAAATTTCAAGTTTAGTAACTAGTATTATATATTATTACATAAATTAAATGCCATTGATTAATTAGTTATTTTCTTTCTTTATTTTTGGTGATGTTACAGTTTGTGAGGAATATTCATGACATGATGGCAAGCAAGTTGTACCAGCAGTAAGCTTTTTTTGATAAGAAATATATCATGATAGTTCATGTTTATTGTTGTGTATCACTGAAGGCTATTTGTCTTTAAGACGAATGTTCTATAATGGATAATATATTACTTTAACTTAATTTGTCTAGGCCTGAGAAAGAAGGTTCTTTCACTATAAATGATACAATGGGATTTATTACACTTGAAAAGAATGGTAATTCACTTGATCTTTTGGCTAGGGACGTCTCTACAGATCGCATTGCTGCAATACAGGTTTTAGTTAACCCTATTTCTAACTTTCTATTCTATTTTTCTTGATGTTTATAGAATTCATTATTATTGAACTTGAATGAATAATATTCAGGATGCTTATTGGAGTATGGCATCTGCCTTGTCTGAGGCTGATGGAATTGATTACACTGATCCTGAGGAGGTAACCTTTTGAATTTGCTTTCTAGTATGTACAGTACATGTATATGTTTTATAATTATATATTACTAACTGTTTTCCCATTTTCTCCGAATGAAGCTTGAAATGTTAGTATCAGCTCTCATTGATCTCGATGCAATGGATGGAAAAGATAGTGTCTCGCTCCTGGCTGAGTGTTCAAGCTCACCTGATGTTAGCACAAGGTACTACCATTCTATACTTTTGCTTGATCTCTATTATGACACAACTCATCCACCTTCCTTTTCCCCCCATGAATCAAACTAGTATAGTTCTAAAACTTCTTGTCCTGCAGCACAAGTTTCAGTTTGTTGTGGGTCATGTCGGAATTAGGTAGATTTCTTGATTAAAATTTTTAATCATTCCAGCAGTGTTTCAAAGATTGAGAGTGTGAGAGCAGATGAATGGTTCTGAGTTTGAATTTTGTATCTTGATGAAACTTTCTTACAAAGGTTCAGGGTGTAAGAGCCGATGAATGGGTTCTGAGTTTGAATCTTGTAGTGAATACTAGATAGATGCACACATTCCTCAAAAAATGAAATAGATAAAGAGAGAAATAACTAAGGAAGAAAAAAGTCAGGGAAGAGTAAGCCTCTGGGATTTTTCAGAAATTATTTACCCTTACTTTTTCTCCAATACATTTAAGCCCCCCTGATGCGGAGGAAATAATTGATGCTCTTTGGAAGAAATTGGGACGTGCAAAGGCAGGGGAGGATTGAAACAAAAGGGTACTTTCGGGCAGATTCTGAGATGCAATTTTGGAGAATTGTATCTTTTGACTCGCTCCATAGAATCTTAATTATTATGTATTTTGGAAAGCTCAAGAAGTGCTCTATTAATATATTCTCATTCGCTATTCCAGATAAGTTTCAGGTTCGAATATATTAATTTTCAGGATCAACTGTGGTGCAAATTCTGGGTTTTTTTTTTAAGTTTTCTAGTTTTTATAGAAAGTTTCTTGATGTTAGGATTTCCCTTTGCTTTTGGAAAAAGGCGTTTAGTACTTTTGTTTTGTTTTGTACCCTATATAAGGGGAACGAATTTATGTAGGGTTTGAAGCTTTTTATCATTATTTAGAAGGTTTTCTATTCCTAGGGTTTTCTAAGGTTTGTACCGTTTTGCTCGTACGAGAACGAGTAATTATCTTTTCGATATACTTTCGCTACATCACCCCCGGAATCAATGGTTCACCTATTTAACCCCTTCTTAGAATCAATCCTAAACTTTCTGTATTTAATACAAGAATTCAATAATATAAGGTAGCTAAACTGGTAAAACTTGTTGGAGTTGACTCAATTTCCAACTAAATTTATTGGTGTAATTTTCTACATGCAGATACAATTTTGCATGGTCTTTTCGGGCATGGTACATTCGTTATTTGGCTAGAAATTCTACATGAAAGTTGTAGAGGTACATGCATAGTTTACTCCAAGCTTTGAATCACATGAATCGGAGCAGTATGGATGGAGTTATGGTCAGTCAAATTATCCTACCTGAATCTGGACAGATTTGTGTATTCCCAAACATTTTGAAAGATGAAAAGGTTAATCAAGGCCTATAAAAAGGCATGCTCTCATTGTGGAGAGGAAATCAAAGGCAAACCAAGGGTAATCTAAGTTTTTCACTTGTTCTCTTGAAAGTATAGAGAGTTAGAGTGAATGAGAGTCTTGTGTTGTAGAGATCTCGAGTCTTGAGTAGGGTGTGTGAGGATTGTGTGGAAGTCGGCGTTGTCGGATGTGCCGTGTGTGCCTTGTACCCATTTGTTGATTTCATATAGTGAAGTATCCTCCGAGCTCTGAGCTCAACCCATGGTTTTTCCCATTTGAGTTTTTCACTTAAATCCTTGTGTTCATTCTTTATGTGATTATCTTTTATCTTTTTGTGGTGTTGAGAAGTTTCGCGGTTCGTCAACACCAACAAGTGATATCAGAGCGAGGTTGTGGTGTTCTTAATGGCTGAAGACAAGTCAATAATCAGCGATGTGAAGGTTGAGTTGAAGCTATTTGATGGACGAAGCAATTTCATACTATGGCAGCGTAAGATGAAGAATATTTTGATTCAGTAAGATCTACACATGTGCATTATGGGGGTTGAGCACAAGCCTGAGACGATGTCTATGGAGGCTTGGAACAAGGCAGACCTCAAGGCGATGAGCTCGATTGAGCTGCACTTATCCGACGAAGTCACCTACAACGTGATGGAGAAGACTACTTCCAAGGGCAAATGGGAGAAGTTAGAATCTCTATATGGTCTCTAACAAGTTTTTCTTAAAAGATAAATTGTTTAATCTTCGTATGGAAGATGGAGATGATATTATGGATGATATAATGGAGCATCTTAATGTGTTTAACCATTGTATAACGGATTTGTTGCGAGTGGAGGTCAAGTTTGAAGAAGAGGATATAGCTTTGCTTTTGCTACGATTCTTGGCGTCGTCATTCAAACATTTCCGGATCACACTCATGTCTGGCAAGGAGACTCTTCGGTTTGAAGAGGTTGCTCAAGACTCCATCTCTCATGTCAAAATGAACAAGAGCATGGGAGTTGACTTGACAAATGAAGACCTACTCGTCAAGGAGTTGAATGATCGAGGTCGATCCAAGGAGAAAGGTGCCAAGTTGGATAACCGCGAGAGATCTAAATCCAAGAGCCACAAGGATAAGGAGTGTTACTACTGTCATAAGAAAGGTCACTTCAAGAAGATCTGCAGAAAGTTCAAGGCAGATCAGAAAGAAGGGAAGAAATCTGAAACCACCTCTATGGCTGGAGTTGCCACGGAGAACAGTGCCGAACTTCTTTCAGTTTCATCGGATAAAACTATTTCTAATTCTTTGATTCTTAATTCAGGTTGCTCTTTCCATATGTGTGCAAACAGGTTTTGGTTCAACACATATGAAAAGAATGATGGAGGTGAAGTCCTCATGGGGAACAATGTCGCGTGCAAGGTCATCGGCTTTGGCACGGTGAAGGTGAAAATGTATGATGACATTATTCGCACTTTCGGCAACGTGCGACATGTTTCTACACTCAAGAAGAACCTGATTTCTTTGGGCACTCTAGATGCAAGCGGCCTCACCTACTCCTCAGGCGGAGGAAAAATCAAGATTTGTTAGGGCTCGATGGTGATCATGCGAGGAGAGAAGCTTCCCAACAACTTGTACAAGCTTCTAGGAGATACTGTCTCAAGGGAAGTCATATCCACAACTTTCAAAGAGGACTCTTAAGATTGACTCTGGGGAAGACTCAACTCATCTATGACATCTTCGTCTTGGCCATATGAGTGAACGGGTTATGGAGGAGCTGCACAAGAGGAAGCTGTTGAAGAACATGAAGACTTGCAAGTTGGATTTCTGCAAGTATTGCGTACTTAGAAAGCAATGTAAGGTCTCATTCAAACCTACAAACACGGTGAATCGTGCAAAAGGGATTCTCGACTATATTCACTCCGATGTATGGGGGTCGGCACCTACAAAATCTTATGGTGGTGCTCGTTATTTTGTCACCTTCATGGATGACTATTCACGAAAAATTTGGGTCTACTTTATATGGGAGAAATCCGAGGTCTTTGAGAAGTTTAAAGAAGGAAAGGTAGAAGTAAAGAACCAAACTGGACCGAAGATCAAGTATTTACGAAGTGACAACGAAGGTAAATATCGTGATGGGAGGTTCCTAGCATTTTACTAGCAAGAAGGCATTACGCGACACTTTACCGTGAAAAAAACTCCACAGCAGAATGGTGCGACAGAAAGGATGAACCGGACTCTCATGGAGAAAAAAAGATGCATGAGACTTCATGCAGGATTGCCCGAGTCTTTTTGGGCTGAATCCGTTAACCATGCTGCCTACATGGTTAATCGGTTACCATCTAAGCTGCTGAACTTCAAATACGTCAAAAAATTATGGTCGGACAAAGAAGTTGACTATTCTACCCTGAAGGTTTTCAGATGCAAGGCGTATGTTCATATTCTGAGTGACGAACGGAACAAGCTGAAGCCAAAGTCACTCGAGTGCATTTTTCTCGGTTTTGAGAAGGGAGTGAAAGGCTACAAGCTGTGGAATCCGAAAAACAAGAAGAAAGTGTTGAGTAGAGATGTCGTGTTTGATGAAAGACTTAGAGCTGAAGCTATTGTGACAAAGATAAGGATCGTGAAGAGAATCGTTGTCGTACTGAAATTCCTTTGTCAGTGGAAGGATATATTCTAGAAAGTCAAGCTAAGGTGGAGCAACACGACGAGCAGCAACAAGCTGAAGAGGTTCATGTAAAACCTACAAGCATTGCACAATCAAGACAGAGAAGAGTCATCAAGCCTCCTCAATGATTCGGATGGGAAGATGAAGCCTGCTATGCACTTTTAGCTACATGTTAGCTTATGAAGCAGCTAAAGCTAGAGTATGACTTGCTTTGAAGTTCCGGAGTCTAACTTCTTAGATTCCGAAGATCCATGTTCCGAAGACAAGTGTTCGTGATTCAGATGAAGATTGACATTCCGGAAACTCGTATTCCGAAGACTAATGCTCCGAAAATACAGTTTACAATTTCGAGTGGCATCGGATATCTCGCCAAGGTGGAGATTGTTGGAGTTGGCTCAATTTCCAACTAAATTTATTGCTGCAATTTTTTACATGCAGATATAATTTTGCATGGTCTTTTCGGGCATGGTACAGTCATTATTTGGCTCGGAACTCTACATGAAAGTTGTAGAGCTACATGCATAGTTTACTCCAAGCTTTGAATCACAGGAATCAGAGCAGTATGGATGGAGTTATGGTCAGTCAAATTACCCTACCTGGATCTGAACTGATTTGTGTATTGCCAAACATTTTGGTAGATAAAAAGGTTAATCAAGGCCAATAAAAAGGTATGCTCTCATTGTGGAGAGGAAATCAAAGGCAATTCAAGGGTAATCTAAGTTTTTCACTTGTTCTCTTGAAAGTATAGAGAGTTAAGAGTGAAGGAGAGTCTTTTGTGTTGTAGAGATCTCGAGTGTTGAGTTAATAGAGAAAGAGCGTGAGTGAGGGTTGTGTGGAAGTCGGCGTTGTCGGGTGTGCCATGTGTGCCTTGTACCCATTTGTTGATTCCATATAGTGAAGCATCCTCTGAGCTCTGAGCTCAACCCGTGGTTTTTCCCGTTTGGGTTTTCCACGTAAATCCTTGTGTCCATTCTTTATGTGATTATCTTTTATCTTTTTGTCATTAAGAACAAGAACCTGAAGTGGTGTTGAGAAGTTTCGCGGTTCGTCCACACCAACAAAACTCTGTAATTTAGCAGAAGATTATGTACTGGAGGTACAAACGAGTGAAAGAATTGAAATTTCCTTGCTGGGTTAAAAAACTTGTCTATTCGATAACTAGGTAGTGGAATGTGTTGCTGCAGTTTAGTAGTTCATTTGGCATCAACTGTCATTCATCATAAGACCAGAATCATGAAATCTGTAAAAGTTCAGTTACTTCACTCTGAACTTTAAAAAGATACAACATAGCATATACAGGAGCCCTATTTTGGTTCCTTTCGCCATCTTACAACTCTATGGAAACTTATTTGCTCATTGTTCATGACACTTAATTAATATTTTTATTTTCTGAAGATGGATTTTTTTTTTTTTTTGAAGATATCCATGTCTTACACGTACCCTTTTTTTTTAACTACTCTCCATAGGCAAGCTCTCGCAAATGCATTGGCTGCAGCTCCATCTATGTGGATTCTAGGGAATGCTGGCATGGGGGCTTTACAAGTAACAATTGATAACTTCATTGCAAATATGTTTAATAAACTAAAGTTTACATGCAACTGTAACAGACTAATATTCCTCTTTTATTTTTGCCTTGTTTTGGGACCCATTTAAATACAGAGATTAGCTGAGGACAGCAACCCTGCCATTGCTGCTGCTGCATCAAAAGCCATTGATGAACTAAAGCTACAGTGGGAACTTGAAGAAGGTGATAGTTTGAGGTTCTTGATGAATAGGATCTCTCAGGAAACTGGAGATGATTCTGACTCTGAGGAAAATGGTGACTATCAAGTGTAAGGTGATCGTATTGGTTTCTGATCGAGTGACTGCTCGAGATATGCTCTCAAAAATATTATTTGCAAAACGGTGAATATAATCGAAAGACGACGCAAACATTGTATACAGTTTCATGGGATCCGATGATGTTCGGTCCAAGGAAGGTTCTCATGAAATTGATACAAAAAATTCCATCCGATCATGTATCGTAAGTTATAACTAAAGAAGATTGGCCTAATCCTGGAGATTGGGCTTCCCAGTTGTAAGAAAAATATCTTACAAACAAGAATTTTAAGTTGTAACAGATTTGATTGCCTAATCCTGAAGCTTGGTTGACATGATAGGTAATTTTATAAAGGGCACGGCTTGTGGAATTGGTGTGGATTTTGTCAATTTATATTCTGCCAAATTCTAGATTAAAAGCCCAGTTTTTTCATAAATTATGTTTTCCAGTATGGGTTCTGCATAGTTTATGTTGATTTCTTCATAATTGCAGTGTGTGTTAGTATTAGCGTTGGCAGGGGAGTTCATATTGATTTAAATATCTGGTGTTTAAAGGGGTGGATATTTTTCAACTTTCATACAGAAAATGCTAATATACAGGTTCCTCTCTTTCAAATCTAACTAGATGCAAGACTCTTTCTTTAGAGAAAACGGTAAAAGTGTTGGCTCAAAAGGCGAAAGGTCAATGTGTCTTTGGCAATGTCTATTTCCAATTTCGAATTATTAGGCATTGTCATACTTGTGTTGGCTCAAAAGGCCAAAGGTCAATGTGTCTTTGGCAATGTCTATTCCCAATTTCAAATTATTAGGCATTGCCATACTTGTGCTATTCACTTGGGTCTAAACTGCAAAGGCAGGTCCCGAGGTTTACTTGACTAGTATTAAGCCAAGGTTCTTCGCACCAAAAATAAAAAAAGAAAGTGTAGCAGTGACTGAAAGTGGTTCATTTTCATACTTTTCAAACAACTGTTTACCTTCTACTTCAAACTGGAATGTTTAAGAGTGAACTATAAGATTTTTTTAAGCAAAATATACATGGGTTTGTGACTCAGGTAATCAAACCTTGGAAGATGCATTAACACTTCCCTTCTAAATCTTTTTTGAGAAATTCAATAGAGCTGTTTCGAATTTACAGTCCTCTAATTACATTGTTGCAGATAGGCGCCCTAGATTGAATTTTTTTGACTCATTTGCCCCGATAAAGACTCAATAATTTCACCCAGAGGCAATATCTACGAAAATTTAACCGAAGGTTAAAAAGTAAAATAAATAAATTAATAAAAAAATAAACCCACAGGTTATCTGCTACAATGGAAGTATAGGGGTAGTAAGTTTAAAACAGCAATACTACAAAGGGTCTAATACACAATTAGCCCTAACAAATATACCTCTGGATAACCCAACCAGTTACCAATTCTAAAAAGTATGAAGCGTTACTACAAGAATGTACATGGCATTAACAAACCAAACACTCATTTAAACTCCACATTATTTTCTACAACACTGACTAATTTTTTTGTTAACGGCCTTCGGACATTGTAATCGACATCTCATTTGCTGTTAATGATGCTTGATTGCTTGTTGAAGAATCACACTCGATAGGGCTTCTTGCTGAAACGTAGCCTGGCTGTTTAGGCTGAGGCAATGATGCACTCTCTCTGCCCAACATTAACACAACCGAGGACATCGTTGGCCTGTCTTCTGCTCGCTCTTGGACACAATAATCCCACCCTAATGCACCTCAGGGATTCATCCAATGAATACAAGTTACCTGTTGATTTATCCACTAGTTCCAAGCTCTTCCCTTCTCTCCACAATGTCCACGCCTAAAAATTTTAAGCATTGCATGCCTTAATTTGTGAAGAGTAAAAAGCAATATATAACCATGCAAATAGAGTTAATTGTAGATACACACCTACCTTTACTGTAGGACTATTTTATTCGCACTTACACCCCTTAACTTTCCAAACGGTTTCCAATTAGATTTAGATGTCATACGGAATCATGTACAGACAGATTATATTTTTCCTCAGTTTAACTTTAAAAAATGTGAAATTCCCTATAATTTGAGGGCAAAAAAGGAATTTACTATCACATGAATACGTGACATCTCAACCTAACAGAAAAATAATAACGTCTGAAATTCATGGAATGTTTTCCCGAGTAAAAGAAATTAGCAAATGTAAGTGCTAATGAACATCCTCTGTTACAAGAGGTGTGTATCTGTAATTAATCCTTGCCGATATGTAAATTTTTCTCCTGTATATTGACGACATAAATACTTACATGACCTAGTAGATTCATGTCAGAATTGGCTCCATAGAACCCTCGGTTCTTCTTTCCGCTTATAATTTCAATTACCAGGGCACCAAAGCTTAATACATCAGATTTGACGGAGAAAAAACCATCCATTGCATACTCAGGAGACATGTATCCGCTGCATTTAGCATTAGATTGTTAAGAAATCATACTTTTGATGGGTAGTCATCAAATACTTGAACTCTTGAAGGGCAAGGACTTACTATGTTCCAACAACTTCTCTTGTATTTACTTCTGTATCATCTCCTCCGAAAATCCTTGCCATACCGAAGTCAGTTAATTTTGGGTTCATCTCTTTATCAAGAAGAACATTGCTAGCGTTGAGATCTCTATGAATGATTCTGAATCTAGAGTCTTGGTGAAGGTAGAGAAGTCCTCGAGCAATCCCCATTATAATGTTGTAACGGGTTTGCCAGTCAAGTAATACACACTTCGATTTATCTGAACAATTATTTTTTAATTTTAGTGTCAGCTAAATAATCATGATTACATAGTGGCTAAACTCTAAGATTAGATGAACCAGTCACTGACTGATGTTACTGAACAGCTTGATTAATAGTTTAGAGGTTAGATGTCACTTTAGAGTCTATTAAACTGTAATAATGCCAGGAAAAAAACAAGAAAACGCAAAGCTATGCACTTACCAAAAAGAAAGAAATCTAAGCTTTTGTTGGGCATATACTCATATATCAACATCCTTTCTCCCCCCTTGTATGCAATATCCCAACAGCCTAACAAGGTTTTGATGCTGAAGCTTGGCTATCAACAATATCTCGTTCTTGAATTCATCGATCCCTTGAACTGAAGTCTTCGCAAGCCTCTTAATTGCAATTTCTTGCCCATCACCAACTACTCCCTGTAATAACAAATTCAATTTTTTTTGTTCCATTTAAATACTTCTCATCTTCAAAATTAAAATTCCGGGAAATTGAGGTTATGAAGTTTACCTTGAAAACAGGCCCAAAGCCACCTTGGGCCAGCTTATTGTCATAGAAGAAGTTATTGGTTGCAGCTATAATAGAGCTCAAATCAAGCAGGGGTAGCTCTAAGTCACTGCTCTCTGACCCTTTGTACTTATTAACGATTGTACCTGATGCTCTGGCTGTATAACAGTAGTATACAATAGCAAATACGCAATGTTACTGGACAATGAATAAAAGTTTTATCTACATATTTACCTAGTCTTGTCTTTCTCTTCTTTCTCAGTACGCAACAGTAACCGATCCATGCAAGCATTAAGATGGCTGTTGTTGGGATTCCGAGGGCTAATACAAACGCTGAGAGAGAAGGCCAAACACAATCAAAATAACGGCATGAACACAAACAAACGAATTTTACGTGGTTCGGCAAGTTGCTTACGTCCACGGGGCAAGAAGGGGATGTGCTTTCACTAATAGAGAAGGAGAGTACAAATAGAGATTACAAATTCACTAAAAATCTCTCAAACAAACCTCTCAAAACTCTCAAACAAAACTCTAACCAAATTGCTCAGAAAACTCTCATTTCTATGCACAAAACAAACCCATTTTCAACTCTTTTTTTTCTCTTTTCTAAACCGTTTCATATATATAGAACTCGTTGAAAGTACCATCTGTATACTATGTACCGTTATCAGATCTTAGTGTCTTCAATTTCTTCCCTATCATGTTCTCAATCATTACCTTCCACTTCCTGAATGCCTCGAACACCTCTTTCTTATGCTTCAGAAAATAAATCCAAGTATACCTAGAATAATCATCTATGAACGAGACAAAATATCTAGAACCACCCTTGGAAGTTGTCTGAGTCGGACCCCACACATCTGTGTGCACATAATCTAATACACCTCTGTTCTTATGTTTGTTTCTCAGAAACTGGACCCTGTGCGTCTTTCCGTACACACAATCCTCGTAAAAAAAATCCATGCAAAGTTTCTTCAGATTCTTCAGCAAACCCTCTTTACCAAGCAAATCTAGACCCTTCTTTGACATATGCCCAAACCGCCTGTGCCATAATCGTGTGTGCTCACATGTGTCTCCACCACTTCCATTAGTTCCAACTCTTGTATTCCCTGTCACCGTCGTCCCCAAGAGAGTATATAAATTATCGTGACGAACACCCTTCATCACTACTAGGGAACCTCGAACAATCTTCTTCACTCCGTTCTCTGTAACAATCTTGTAGCCACCGGAGTCTAAAGCACCAATTGAAATAAGATTCTTTCGCAAGCTCGGGAACGTTCCTCACATCCGTTAGGATTCTGACCACTCCATCATTCATCTTGATTTTGATATCACCTAGCCCCACCGTTTTACAAGCATGGTTGTTCCCCATCAGTACGGTTCCATTGTCAATATTTTTGCAGGTAATAAACCACTTCTTATTTGGGCACATATGGTAAGAGCAACCCAAATCAAGAATCCATTTTTCGGAGATATCATCACCATCCGTGAAGACATAGCGTTCATTCTTGCTTCCTTCCTCTGAAACGTAGCTCGCCTCTTTCTTGTCTTCTCTCCTCTCGGTCTTGTTGTTCTTCTTCTTTCCACCTACTCTTTTGTTAGGACAATCGACCTTGAAATGCCCTAGCTCACCGCATTTGAAACACGATCTTCCCGTAAGAAGTCTTGATTTTGATCTAGACTTTCCTCTCTTGCCTTTTCCTCGCTCATTGTCGCTTCCTCTGGCAAATAGTCCCTGAGCTTGCTCCTTATTACCACTAGTGGCCATATCACTAGTTACAATTTTTCGAAGATCATCCGCCAGAAGCATCATTCTAATCTCATCCATCTTTAAATTGTCACCCACAATCATTAGTGTTTGAACCAGATTTTCATAGGACTTCGGTAAAGAAAGAAGTAGTAGAAGTGTTTGATCCTCGTCTTCTACTGTCACATCAATGTCCTTCTAGTCCAATATGATCCTATCAAACTTGTTGATGTACTCCTGGATTGATGACCCTTTCTCCATCTTGCATGTATACAATTTGGACTTTAAGTAGAAGTGTTTGATCCTCGTCTTCTACTGTCACATCAATGTCCTTCTAGTCCAATATGATCCTATCAAACTTGTTGATGTACTCCCGGATTGATGAGCCTTTCTCCATCTTGCATGTATACAATTTGGACTTTAAGTAGATCCGATTAGTTAGACTCTTCGTCATGAAGGTACTCTCTAGTTTTGACCACACGCACGCAGCCGTTTTATCTCCATTCACCAAGAAAACTACATCCCTCTTAAGACATAGGATAATTGATACTCGTGCTTCGAGATCTAACTCTTCCCAATCCTCATCTGACATATCTTTGTACTTCTTCTCTTTTTCTATCAAAACCTTATGCAATTTCTGCGAAATCAATGAGTTTTTCATCTGCATCCTCCAATAGGAAAAATCATTCTTCTCATTGAATTTTTCGATCTCATACTTTCTTACTTTAATTGTTTTACTTGTAGACGTCATTCTCCACTTGTTTTAGTAAACCGCTTCTCTCAGAAAATCCAACAAATACCTTGTGTGCACCACACAATACCCAAAACACCGCCTCAAATCGAGAGATTTACCACCGCCAATCTGATCAAGAGGCTCTGATACCAATTGTTAGGCGCAGAGTCGCGCCCTCACACTGCGAAAGCGATATAACCTGAGAGAAAGCTCTGACTTTTATTTTTACAAAAGCTCAAGTCAATCTATATATTCTCGTTTCACAAAGAAAACAAGAACAGAAGTAATATATCTCAACAAGATGAGATATACACTCTTCTCAATATCAGATCTAGGTCTGAATATCGAGGAAACCAACAAGCAATAGCCAACACATAAAAAACAAGTGAGACACGAGATTTACGTGGTTTGACAAACTTGCCTACGTCCACGGGGAGGGGTGATGGGAGATTCCACTATGAATGAGAACACTGACTTGTACAACCCACAAGCTCATCCCAAAGATGAAGCTTTGATTTTTACCCAAAAAAAGTTGACCTCTCTCTTGTAAAATCTCTCCAAGCTCTCTTTTTCTCTCCTCAAGATCTCACCTTTTAGATCTGAAAAACTCTGTTTTTTCTCTCAAAACAGCCATCAGAACCCCTTAGAAAACCCTAAGAACGAGTTCCTATTTATACCAAGAAAATAGGGCCCAAAACCGCAGGAAAAAAACTCAAACCACTTCCGGGTAAATAGTATCGAGACACCGTTCACTGTCTCGGGTGAACAGTGTCGAGACACTTTTCACTATCTCACACTGTTCACATTCACATGGATGCTCAAGCCGCTGCACTAGCCACCCCCTTCCAGGAACTTTTCCAGACAATTATGTGAAGAAAGAAAACTTCTATGCAGTATTACCTATAGTATTTGGTTTCATGAATAGATACTAGATTATTAGAATTTGTAAGGTCTCTATCCGGGTCACTATGTTTATGGTTACTAGGCTAAATTCTGTCATGTTTGCATATTTTTTTAAGTGTTCTCAAAGGTGCATGTCTCACTACGCCTCATGCGCCATACAATGCAGGATGGTAGCAAAGCGTCCCGCATCTAATGCAGCAACGTCTTTTGCACCTCAAAAAGAACTTTTGCTACACAATAGGTTGCATGTAAGACAGCTGTATATATTTTTGGTTTGAGGCATTTCAATCGTGTCTTTGTACGCGATAACTCATTCCCCAAAAAGCAAAACAAACTCGTTAGGCCTTGTTAGGTTAGGAGCTTGATTGACGACCATAACTAATCTTCGTTTACTCATAGACATAGGCACCCCCATCGAAACAGTTGACAACTGGCATCATTGAACCTAACCAAGCAAAAAAGAAGATAAGATCTAAGACAGAAAGCACGACATAGTGGGAAGGATTAATCAAGCCGCGGTTGGCCGCTATTAATGGTCAATCAGTCTTTGACTGCCTATTGTCAGAGATTTTCGGGTATCTTGTGGACTTGGTCGGTTATGACAAAGACTCTGTAAACCAAATCACATGAAATCAATAAGAATAAACTATATCAAGAATCTACGATTAAGCCCTTATTTGATTCTGCTTCGATATAAGTCTTGGTTTGACTTTTAATTTGGAAAATTATGAACTTTGCTGCTATGTTGGATGTGTCAACATCAAGAATTAAGACCATATTTTGTTGTTTGGTACTTGGTAGTAAATATTATTTATCTTGACATATTTTTATGTGAATTCATAAACATGTTCTTTCGTTCTTGATTACCTATCTACAAAAATTGTGTGAGCGGTGTGTGTCTCGCCTCACTCAAGCTCGCGCATTGCGGAACACCTTGTGCATGTGCGTGTAAAGGGACTTTGCACCACATATTAGGCCTTGTGCAGTGATAACACCAATTCAATTATGAACAAACAGCATTATAGGCCTCTAAATATTATGCAATTGGATTTGCCAAATAGTCACAATTACCAAGTATTTCCCATTTAAGCTGAGATATCTAGCATATAGGTAGTTCCCAACAAATTGTTATCTTTTTAAAGATAACTTCTGAATATTCAACCAATATGTCACAAAGCTCTCTAAACCACCAATAAATTCAAGTATGGTTCAAGGGCACTGCTTTTTCATCAGTCTAGAATAATATAGAGGATAGTTTCAATTGCCTTTCTGTATTTCTATCATCCAAGATGAATTACTTAAATAAACTAACCAGTTTTCCCTCCAAAACTTTATAATCAGAACTTATACTAGGAAACCTAACTCCAACTCTAAGAAAGTTAAAGAGTGAAGATAGACATGGAGAATAATCTGACCTACCAAGAATTTCCAGTCCAATATTAGTTGATCAGCCTTAACAAAATTTCATCCAACAGTTCCATGCATGACTTACTAAGCATATACATGTTTTTTTTTTTTTTTTGAAGATAAAACAAGGGATGATCCATGTTCATTAAAACAAAAGATAAAAAAGTATTAGTTACAAAAGATGGACACGAAATGTATCCTGGTGTTAGTAGATAGAAAGTATAAATCAGCTTAATAGTGACGTATAACTTTCTTCTTTCAAAGATCCATGAAGATGAGGAGTGGACCTTGTCGTCACTCATCGTTGACACAGATATAAGAAAGAACAAAAGTCAGTCATACGTATATTAAGTTGAATATAAATTCTATAGACTAACAAGATCATAACAGCTTATAGTATTCTAAATACATGTTTTCAAGAAAATAAAAAAGGGATCTGTAATTTGTTTGATCTTTGTTAAACACTTGCCCTGCTGATTGGTTGAGATTCCAGTCTTGCTGACAAACGCTTAGCACCTGAACTTCTTCCAGCACCTGTCCATTCATATATACCAAAAATAGATTGATTGATAATAGCTTTGTAAGAGAAGTTACTTTGATCAAAGATAAATCTATTTCTTGTAATCCAAATGTTCCAACATATTGCA